GTGGGAGGGGGGATGGAGCTAGGGAATTAGATTTTGGGAATCTCAAACCATGACACGTGTATATGTATTTGATAGATTACAAATTATTTTTATTGAATAACTTCTTTTCTGAAGGATAACAGGATTTGCTTCAATATCCGTGCTGGCTATCCACAGTTTCTGTGGGTTAAATACCACTGTTTCTTGGTTTGACTTTGCATTCACTGCCATGGGATCAGGATGATTGGCTGGAAGCACCCAATTTACTCAAGGCAGAGTTCCAACCAATTGAAAAAGTTTTTTAAGATACTTCCAGAAAGTATCTAGTGGGTGTCAGCAGCTGTGTGACACTGCTGGAAGGGCACTGGAGGTGGACGGCAAAAATCATGCTTCCAATTGAGGCTACTTCTGCAATGATTAACTTTAAAGCCTAAACAAGATCCCCTAAATAACATATGCATGAACTTTCTCTCTTAGAGAAAGTTTCTAGCCCTGGAACAGATGAATCCTGGTGGCACATACACATCAACATCTAGGATTTTACGAGCAGCAGGTCAGTCACCAAAACAATGTTTTCAAGATATTCCCCTTCTCAGCCTGCCTTTTATTGAGATGTCAAATGAAAAGTGTTCACCCCATCCTAGGAGAAAGAAAGAATATGTGACATATGTGACATTATTTATAAAATCATTCCTACTTTGTCTATTAGTAAATGAAGGCCTTTAGATGTCGCCCTTATTCTTTTCACCTTTAGTTATCATGAAGGGACTTCCAGCAGGTCTTTCTCCCTTTCTAGTTTGAACCCTCAAGCAAATAGATAAAAATATGGAATATATCTGTCTTTCTGCCTCTGTCTGTCCATTCTCTTTTTGTCTTTAATATAATCAAAATCACATGAGTTAACCAGCAGATCTCTTTCATATAAATTCTAATGTTGGTAATATAATAGAACTGCTGGCTCTTCATGTTTATGTATCAATAAGAGAAGTGCTGGACATCATGGCTGGGCTTCATGAACGAAGATTTGGGGAGGGCTCTACCCATGTTTGCTACAAGCACACTGGTGGTTAATAAGGCCAATACAGGATAGGCACATCCGGTTACAGCAGGCACAGCAGAAAGACTCCTTAGATGGTATATTCTGCAAGACACGATTCTTTCTGCTTTGTCTATTCTCCTCAAGAGTGATCCTGTGTGCTTTCTCAAAAGCATCAGGAGCGTTATAGATGGTGTGTCTCCAGACCTCCCAACTGGAGGCCAGAGTAGACCAGTTATGGTGATCAATACGGCCAAGGCTGAGATGTTGTTTCAGGGAGTCCTTGTATCTTCTCTTTGGGGCTCCCCTCATGCGGCAGCCGGTGGTAAGTTCACCATAAAGCAAGATCTTAGGGAGGTGGTGGTCCTTCATCCTGGAGACGTGTCCTGCCCAATGCAGCTGTGTTCTCAGCAACATGGCCTCAATACTTGTGACTGCTGTTTGTTCTAGAACAGATGTATTGGTCACATAATCTGACCAGTGGATGTTTAGGATTGTACGGAGGCAGCGTTGATGGAAGCGTTCTAGGAGACACAGGTGGTGGCGGTAGATGACCCATGATTCGGATCCATACAAAAGAGTAGACAGCACAACGGCTCTGTAAACACTGATCTTTGTACTTTTCTTCAAGTGTTTATTATGCCAAACTCTTTTATGGAGTTTTCTGAAGGCACTATATGCCTTTGCTAACCTGTTGTCTATCTCTCCGTCAATCTTACCATCCGAGGAGATAAGGCTACCTAGGTAATTAAACTGCTGGACTGATTTGAGCTCTGATTGGCCAATGGTGATATGGGGATGATGGAAGACTTCCTGAGGTGCAGGTTGATAGAGAACTTCAGTCTTCTTCCAGTCCAAAGAGCTCAGCAGCATCTGCAAAGCAGGATGTTAAACGCTGCAGAGCTACTTCTGTGTGGGTGACAAAGGCGGCACCATCAGCATAAAGCAGCTCCCGGACAAGATGGTTTAAGGTCTTAGTGTGGGCCTTCAGTCGCGTTAGGTTGAATACGCTTTCATCAGTACGATATCGAATGTAGATACCGTCCTGATCATTGAGGTCTGCCATGGCCCTTTGGAGCATCATGCTGAAAAACATTGTGAATAGGGTTGGTGCGAGAACGCAGCCTTGTTTCACACCATTAGTTATTAGAAAGGGCTCAGAAAGTGCATCACCATATCTGACTTGGCTGCGCTGATCCTCATGGAGTGAGATGATCATTTTAAGGAACTTGGGGGAACAACCTAAACGTTCCAAAATCTGCCACAGACCTTTTCTGCTCACAGTATCGAAAGCCTTGGTGAGGTCGACAAAGGTTACATAGAGACCTTTGTTCTGTTCCCTACACTTCTCTGCAGTTGTCTGAGAACAAATACCATGTCTGTGGTACTCCTGTTGGCTCTGAAACCACACTGGCTTTCAGGTAGAATTCCTTCTGCTATAGCAGGTATTAGTCTGTTCAAGAGTATTCTTGCCAGGAGTTTGCCAGCAATGGAGAGCAGAGTAATACCACGGTAATTTGAACAGTCTGATTTATCTCCTTTCTTCTTATACAGGGTGATGATGACTGCATCATGAAGGTCTGATGGTAGTTCACCTACTTCCCAACAGCGCACCATGAACTCATGAAATTTAGCATGGAGTGCAAGGCCCCCATGTTTCCAGACTTCAGGCGGAATTCCATCAACCCCAGCTGCCTTGCCAATTTTCACCTGCTATATGGCCTTAAGAGTTTCTCCCAAAGTGGGGGCAGTATCCAATTCATACTTCACTGGTTGCTGCATGATGTACTGGATTGCTGAGTCTTGGACTACACGACTAGTACTGAAAAGAGTCTGAAAGTGTTCAGACCATCGATTCAGAATGGAGGTTTTATCTGTCAGAAGCATTTGATCATCTACACTGAGTAGAGGGCTTTGGACCTGGTATGTAGGCCTGTATGCTGTTTTCAAGGCCTCATAGAATCCTCTGTGATCACCTGTATCTGTGCATAATTGAGTTTTTTCAGCTAGATTGATTCACCACTTGTTCTGGATGTCACAGAGTTTCTGTTGGAACTTGCTGCATACAAGAAGAAAGGCTGCTTTTCTTACGTGACAGGATGGTAGTGCAAGGTGTGCTTGGTGAGCAGTTCTCCTCTTCCTCAACAGTTTCTGGATCTCTTGATTATTTTCATCAAACCAGTCCTTGTTCTTGCAGAGGACTGCTGGATGCTGTTTTTAATATGGTGCCAAAGTGTTTCAGGAGAGGTATCTATAAAATCTATGGAATGGTTTTCAAGCCTAGTTTGAAGATTTGCCTGGAATCGGTCTGTCACTGTGGCTGATTGGAGATTGTTAACTTGGAGCCTCCCCCTTGGGACACTGACCCTTTTAGGTTTGAACTTAAGACTGAAGTCTTAAGACCAGTTGATGGTCTGTTTGGCATTCTGCACCAAGCATCACGTGGGTGTGGTGGACATCACGGACATCTCTCTGTCACACCAAGACATAATCGATGAAGTGCCAATGCTCAGATCTAGGATCCATCCAGGTTGTCTTCAGATTATTTTTCTGCTGAAAGACAGTATTAGTGATGGTGAGCTGTTGCTCCGCACAGAATTCTAGCAGAAGTTGACCATTATTGTTGCAGTTTCCAACACCATGCTTGCCTAATACTCCTTTCCAGGTTTCAAAGTTCATTCCTACTCTGGCGTTGAAATCACCAAGGATAATGAACTTATCATCTGCAGGGACCTTTTGGGTAAGGCGGCACAAGTCAGTGTAAAACTTATCTGTTTTGGCAGGGTCAGCTTGGAGAGTTGGGGCATATATACTAAAGAGGACAACGTATTGCTTGTTGTGGAGTGGAAGCTGTAGGGAAATAATGCGGTCAGAATGACCTGATGGTAGATTTTTGAGTTTAGGGACAATAAAGTTTTTAATCATGAAGCCGACTCCCGAGAGATGCCTTTCGGTTTTGGGTTTACCTGACCAAAAGAGTGTGTAGCCAGCACCCTGTTCTCTAAGGTTGTCTTCCTCGTGGAGACAACCTTCATTGAGAGCAGCAATGTTAATATTGAGACGTGATAGTTCGTGGGCAATTAGGGCAGAGCAAAGCTCAGGACATCCACTATCTGCAGTATCAAGCATGGTTCTGATGTTCCAGCATGCGAGTCAATTTAGGTACACCTTTGGAAGCAGGTGTATGCCTTTGTCTTTTGATCTTTGTGTGACCGCAATAGTAGAAGATGCCCATTGACTCTGGTTAACCAACCAGGTGAAGGAGGAGATAAGCTTTGTTTAGGCCACCTTTTCTAGGCCCCTCTCCGAGTGGAGCAAGCACTGCTGCCCTTGAAAAAGGCTGCTTGGTCATTCAGGGTGCTGCCCCAAGAGACTGTCATCTCCGGTCAGTCTCAAATGACCAATATCCTGAACCGCCTGCATGCAGGGTTGGGTCTGCAGCTTCCAGTGCACCTTTCACCTGCCATTTCGACCCTCGCCCATCGCTACAGGGCTTTGTGAATGTGGGTAAAGCCTTTGAGCCTGCGCAGTGGATGTTTTAGGTGAGACACAGTGTGCGCAGAACTGGACCCACCCTTTAATCCTAAGGTTCATCTGCCAGGGCCGAGCGAGCTTGGATGGTGGTAGCAAGGATGTAGGTTTAATTAGAGTGACCTCTTAGATGGATGGCCTTACAGGGCTAAACAAACTCCATCTGCCTGGGTTTGGAGTTAGAGTTGTCCTTCTCCTAAGGATGACTGCCAGAAGGTTAGCGAGCTCATCCTGCCCATGGATATATTGTATCAGACCCTATGGTTTTGACCTGTCTGGCATGGGCAACCCTGCCAAAGGCATGTACCATCGCCAGCGTAGCTTGCAACCGCATAGGGGTACACAGGCTTCTTTCCCATTAAAATGGTTAGGGCAAGTCTTTCACTCCTTTTCTGCCCCCCATCTATATTTAATCCCAGGGAAATACTCAGGAACATCCTTTTGTCCTGACCACCCTTTCAGGAAGCAACAAATATATTCAGAACATACCAAACCTGGACAGTAACTGCAGGTGAGCCAAAAACAAATCATTCCAGCCTCTGTACTCACCCGAGGCTCAGGTACTTCTCAAGGCCCTAGCCCGGCTGAGACCCCCAACCCCCAGAAGAACCCATTATCCACCCTGACCTTATCCTCCCCCCACTGTGTTACCTCATATCTTCCCACGCACCGCTTCCCTGTGACACTTCATACAGGGCTGCCCCGCCTGCCCTCCTGCCAGTCCGAGGACTGCCACGGCCCACCTGACACCCTTCCCCTCACCCAAATCAGACCGGCAAACCTCTGTGTGCTCCAAGGCTTCCCCTCTCCTCTCCCATGAGGGTGCAAAACTATGCCGGTGAAGCTCCCACTCTCCTTTCCCCTGTTGGGGAGGGGGTGGACCCACGGGCAGCCCTGGGTCACACGGGCCCGAGTGGGGGAACCCCACAGCCCAGTACCGCCCGAGGGGGGGAACCCCCACAGCCCAGTACGGTTCCTGGGGGGGCACCCCTGCCGCTAGATGTAGGCATCATCAAAAATAATTCTGTTGCAGTTACAAATAAGGTCTCTTGCTATGAATATTCTGACAATATTTGGTGTTACACAGTCAAACAAGACATGCCTAATCAGAAAAACTCAAAATAAGCTGACTAAAAGAGTAGCACTGTTTTTAATCTTTCCATCACTTTTCCCTCTCTAACACCTTCATTTAAAATTATTTCAATGCACTTCCATATATTTTAATTGTGCAAGGATTAATACTGAAAATTTGTAATCTTTTTTGATGGATTTTTTTCTTTCATCTTTCAGTGTTGGAGTACTTAATCCATAAATCCTCCCCCAATGCTCATAGAAATACAAAACCACTGTGAATACTAGAAGTTGGATCTAGCTGACTTCTGGATTACTTCAAATCCCATTGACTTAAGAGGAACTGCCCAATAAAAAATTCCATCAAAACTGCTCATCTGATTTCAGCATTAGTCTTCAAAATACCTGCTTTGGAGCTATCTTCCTTATAAAGGTACGGTACGTTCACTGCTTTGTACTTACTTACACTATGAAAACAACCCTGCAGTCAACAAACCTGATCTCAAATTATCATCATCCACCATCAGAAAAAATGTTTAAATAGATCTGGTTTACAACTCAGGCATACATATTTAGTTTATCAGCTGGATTCAGAGAGCCTACTACAAATTTCACTCAGGTCGAAAGATCTCATTGAAAACAGTTTTGTTTGCTAGGGCAACAAAAGATATTTGCTAAATTTCAGAGCTGACATAACAAAATAATACAGAAAGAATCATCTAAAAGTTCCTTCTGCCATTTTAATAATTCTTCTTGGGGAGCAGGTGCAGATGTCAGATGCTGTAGTGCTGTAACTGCTGACCTGAGATAAAAAAATTGCCCACAGCAAGCACTCCCTTTAGAACCACTATGGTTCCATTTCAGTTCCTCTAAAACTATTCTCTATAAGCCTGATGCATTAGTAAAGTCTTAATTATCATAAGAATTATCTTAATTCTGGGAAGCCGGATTTGCAATGCAATCACTTTTTATAAAAGCTCCAGCAATCAGTTATGGTGCAGCCATTCATTTGTTGCTTGTAAACTAAAAAGAATAGCACAAACCCCGCTCTCACTCCCCCATAACATTCTGAAATACTTTCTGAAATACTTTTTCCTACCGGAAGCAAAGTAATTTCTAAATTTACAGTCTCTGAGGTTTGGAAATCCATTAGTGCATAGTCACCCCTTCCTCTCATCTAAACTAATCTCTCCAGAAAGATAAACCATTGAATTATAGCTAGGCTTGTGTGAGAGATGCGAAAGACTCAGTGACCATTACTAAAGTACTGTAAATAAACCTTGTGAAACTCATCACAACCACTCTATTACTGTATATGTGATCTCAGTGAATTGATGCACATTCTCTGAAGACTTCCTGTTTCCTTCCTATTTTCTAAGACACCCTCCTTTTTTAATGACTTGCCTTGTGACTTTGTAGTAGGTTTGTACAGTTAAATAATACTTTCCTTTCCCGGGAGGAACAGGATACTCCGTACTATGTTACGTCAGCCCAGATATATAGATAGAAGGAAGAGAGCTCTCTCTTCTCTTCTAGGCACTGAGTGAGGCAGTTTCGGGACAGTTCCTTCAGGGGGGAAGAAGAAACATCGGTTGTGTGAGAACTATCTTAATATTTTAAGTTCTTCTTTGTATGCATATTGCTTATAGTGTTTATCTATCTTTGTATAAGTATAAATAATTTTCTTAGCAGCCCTGGAGTAGTTTTTTTTTCCCTTTCCTTCTTTCCCCTCTTCCCCCCCTCCTCCTCCTCCCTGGAGGAACTGGGCACAGGCTCAGTAGACACCCAGCGTTCAGCCAAAGAAAACAACCACAGACTTACAGGTTTGATAGGGGCAGCAATACTTTGCAGACCTTAACTTGCAAATTTATCTTCAAAAATAGGGTAAATGAAAGTCATTCCTATACCACTACATTTCCTTGTTCCTTCTTTCCACTTTTGCCAGAAAATAATACAAATTTACAGTTGTTAATTACTGGAAAAAAAGAAAACAATGAGACAGAGACTGATATTAAAGCGGGAAAATAAAGTTGTTGACTGCAAAGACACAAAGAACTAGACTTTGTTTTAAAATCATCTTTTTCTTCCCTAAATATACCAACAGTACAAAAGTACAAAGAAGATAACTGCTCTTCTAATTGATTTTCGGGCTTGCTTATTTCATTTTGGAGTTTGGGGGGTTTGTGCCTTTTTTTTTTTTTTGAGAAAATGGGCAGTTGTAAGCCATAACATAGTGTAAAAAATGATACTTCAGTTGCACAATAACATCTCCCATTCCCACTTGCAGAGCACAGCATGTCACCTGTAATCATCAGTTCTCAGCTGGAAGCCCACACCACTTTCACTTGACAAATACTTTTCTTTGTTGTTTTTTTCTTCTTTTGTGCTGATGTATGTGGTTGGTAAAAGATTTACGGAGCAATTGTTCATCACAACACTTTCATTAGATACACAGCCACTCAAATAGACTTTCTGACCTCTGATGTATTGAGTGTCCTGATGCTGAGGAAGCATTTAATAGAATTTCCTCTGACAATCTAGAAATAGCAATACCCCCTTTTTTTTTCTTTGCAGAAAAGCCATTGCAATTAACACAAGCACTTATATTCAAAGAAAATACATGAAAAAGGCAATGCCAATCTGAAGTGTGAAGCTGTTAATATAAATCACATCTTCCTAGATGGTGCTTTCTCTCCTTAAATTGTACTTTGCACCAATTGCATAATCTAGATTACACGGTGGAGCTGGATCAATCTCTCCCATTTGAAGGTAAAATTTCTTAACTCACCTATTAAACAAACTTCTCCTGGATTACTTTACTTTATTATTTTTCTTGAAATTGAGACAGGAATCTCTTTTCTTTATCTAATTGCAATTTCTCAGTGAAGATATTTGTGCCTTAGAAACGGATAGGTCATTTCACTGGCTCTATCTCCCTGTTTCAAAATACTTATTTCAAGCCTCCAAACAAGCCATAAATCATAAAACCTAGGATTAAAAAAAAACAACAACAAATCACTTGCGAAAAAATAAGTCTCTCCAGTGAAACAAACAAACAAAAAAAAACAACCTCTCTAGTTCCCTGGTCTAGGCAAACTGTCATTTATTAAGGCTAAAAAAATAAATAAATTTAAAAACTGCCCAAATTTATGGGCTAGAAAAATGCTGTTTATTGAGGTTCTTGTAAATAAAATTTTTTCTTGCAAACACTTTTCCTACAAGTCCATATAAGCTACCAGAATACTATTTCTTCACCTTCAGTAAACTCAATAACATCCCTTCTGAAGTTTCCTATTTCCTCTAACCTCAATAATCAGAAGTATGCATTGCCCATCATGGAAAAACTCAAATGCTCCTCTCTCTCTGTTACACAGTGTGTTCTGCTCTATATTTCAAACTACTCTTCTTCTGGAACTATATTTTCATTAATTGAACTATACATATTTTATCCCTTTTCTTTACATAGATGTAAGCTTTTTCTAAATGCATTGACTATGTGCTGATATATATTCAAAGCCATAACACGAAAAATATGTTAAAATTACCAATTACTTCTTGGTAATGGAATAGAATTGGATTTTGAGAAAACTTCGCTAAATTAAAAAGTATCACTGTAGAATCCTTTTTAAAAATTAACTGTATCTGTTAAAACTATCCAACATGCTGTCATCCATGGCAGTCAGGTATCTACAGTTATAGGGACAAATAACCAAACTTTTAGTTGTCCTTTTGAAAAGTGCTTTTATAGGTATTCAGGGAATTCCACTTAGTTCAACTGAATAAATGACCTCATTAATTTTAATACTATAAAATTCCCTTTATTACAACAAGATTGAACAATTTTGTTGGCTGGCAAAGGATTTTTTGTCTCATTAGTAGTGATCTCCACCTTCCATTGTGAAATACTGAGATTACATCTCATACCAGAATAATTACAACTAAATTCTATATCCAGAAATTGATTCATCTTGAAATGGAACCAAGACAATAAAAATCTGTTAAGTTTTTCTGCTAATCTGTACAGCACTTCTAGTTTGCAATTAAGGCTTGTGACTTGGCTGCACACAGATGGTTCATACCTTAAAACTGAGCAAAACTGATCAGGAGATAAGATCCATTTAAGAACAGTCAGGCATGTATACACATGAACATATGGGCAGCCATGCAAAAACATCTTGCTGTAGGTGTTCCCCAGGCAACAGTTTTTGTCACACTATAGTAGATGCAGGAACTCACATTAGGGTCTGAGGCTTGGAGGCCATTTAAAGATGGCTCGGAGCTGCCCTTTGGCAAAATTCTAACAGATTTGAAGCTATCAGTTTTACAAGATATAAACTTCTAATAAAAGAAAAAAAAATTGAGATTCAGAGAGTGCAATATCATCCCACAGTCATTTCTGCTCTACTTCTTGGTTAAAGTATTCCAACATCTTTAGTTTAACATAAAAATTTTCAGTTGGTTTCCTCTTCCTCAAAACTTTGTTCTGTGATCTTGAAAGTATTTTTTTAACCACTCCTGAAGATAAGACTAATGAGAGAGGCACAGATTTGACCCTTAAAAAGAAAATCTGCTGATATTCTCTCTGAACAGTTTTAAATACTCTTTTCAGAGCTTTCAAATTTCTTATTAAGATGTGAAAATTTAAATATCTTTTACTGTATATGGGTAATCTTAACACTCTTCCATGGTATTGTCTTCCTGGTTGTCTAACTTGTCCAAAAATAAAATTTCTGAGATTTGTTTACTCTGAAAATGTTCCTCCTCTCATAGCTTCTACAGATGGCCCGACCACACACATAACAGCTCCTCAAAGCAGCTCAGATATATTGAACCAAAGCTGAAGTTTTCATGCAGTGCTGACTCCATGTTGAACTGGAATAAGTTTATTCCTGCACATGAGCAGAAAAACCAGTCCCTCTACCATTTGCTGTATGCTTCATAAAATGAGAGCATGTTAGAGAGAGAAAATATTACACAAAGTATCTTTTAAAGTTGAAATCGGTAAGGGGAACACAATTTTGAAAATACAGAAGAAGGTTTAAGGTAGTTTGGCTAAAAGGCAGTTCATTATTGTGTAATTGAGCACAGAAGAAGCAGATTCAAACAACAGAATTTTCAAGAACATACGACGATGAGATGTTGAAAGCAAGTATGGGAATTAAATGTCTAGGCAAGCAAACTGGAAGAAATAGCTGGAGTAATAAAGTCAGTAAATAAGCCAAGATGGATATGAGGATCCTGGAGAAAGGAAGAGTACAAGACAGCAATATTTCCAGTACAATGGGCTGGAGTATGGAACTTGGAAAAGAAGATTAAGTATAGAATATAGGCACTGCTTTGCAAAGCAGAAAGGAAACACCACACAATTAAGTAAAAATCAGAAAAAATACAGGTTGGAAATGAGAATAACTGAGGGATTAGTATAAAATAATC